AAGTATATAGAAATGTTCATTCTGAACATTCTTTCTGAATTATTGCACTCGTAAATACTCGAAAAATGATTTATTGATGAAATCATAGAGGTGTTAGCATTGAAAAATCTCGAAACAACATTACTCATTGTTGTATTACTGATTATAAAAAATTGATGTTTAATTCGAGATGAGTGTTTTAAAATGCCGTGTTCTATAAATCCCAAAATTCCGAGACTTTTTGAAAGACGAATCGCAGAATCAAGGTTCAAAGGTCGTGATTCCTAGATTCCATGCAAACACTCAGTGATAATTGTACCAATTCTAACAAAAACATCAATGCGTTATAGGGTCTTGGCGCTGAATTTACGATTATTATTGTTATTTTTATTATTGTTATTCTCATTCTTTCATTAATTTCAGTTCTGAATTACGTTTCACTCGAAGTAATTGATCACATATAACGTTTATTCAACAAACGTTCAACAAGGACATACCCATTTGACGAATTCTTATCTAACCACATCACACTGACGACTTTGGATCAATGGTTCAGGTATGATATCCTAGCGATTATCTCGCAAATTATTCAACTCGTAATCAGTTGCTCATGTTTGAGCTATAAGCATCAGCTGATTACTAAAAATCAGCAAAATTCTTGCTTTCATTGACAAGTCATCCGTGCACTGATTTGCAAATTTCAAACGATATCGAAGTTCATCGATAATGCCTCCTCTTTCATTGTGCTATCATTCAATCAATCGCTCGTTTTTGTTGAGCACTTATTTTCGTGATGTTTTCGTATCATATAAAACAGACATTTTTGTTCAGTGCCATTGAAAATTGTGAAGTTTTTTTCATAGAGATGATAACAATAACAAAATGAATGCATTAAACTGGAACNCTTATTAACCTTCAATCAGCTGAATTTCCATTTCAGATCAGTTCAATGATCAACGCGGATGAGGCGAGTGAACCGAGGAGTGAACATCAATCGACGGATGCTGGTTTAGCGAAAATGTTGAAAGTAGGTTACTGAACTAGTTTTCATTCGGACAGCGGTAATTGACGACTTGACACGACTGAGTATTGGAACTGCTAATCATAGAATGGTGCTGTGAACAAATATGGCTCGAATTTGATTTTGTGCACTAATAGTTCGAATGAAAAATGTGCAAAAGAGAGTATGATGAAACTGAATTCGAAGTAAAATTTGACAAGGGATCTCCAGATCAGCATAACCCTTTGACAATTCATCCGATCATGACAATCCTCAACGGTGATCTTTATCACCTCTTTAGGATAGTGCTTCTCGATATAAATTGAAATTTTGTTAGGAGGAAACCGTTCTTGGCTATGAGGACGATGTTGCCGCTGATAACAGAAAGATGCTTTGCGAAATGAATTTGGAAGGGTTGAATCAAGAGCGAATGAATTCGTTGACAGCCAAAGCAGATGAGATATCAAGTGCCGATGCGAATTCCATCGATCCGAGTGAATCACCGGAAAGTAGTGTGACATGTCACGCAGCAATCAATACACCATCTTCCACGACGAATCATCATATTGAAAAAAGGCATATCTGTGTGATTTGTGGAAAGGTTCGCAATTTAAATTCGGTTATTTATTCTTTATCGTTTCAGCTCAACTTTTCGTTTCAGTAATTTCAAGTTCAATAAACTCCAATGATGCAGTGAAGTTACTTTTTGAATGTGGGCTTTGCAAGAAATAATGCAATAGGGATAAGTAGATGTGAATAAAGGAAGTACTTCAAGCATGGTGTGGTGAATGGAATCGTGTATCGCCATCGAATCACCTTGGTAGGCAACTAAGAGTCAGTGAATATAGAATACTGTGAGAATATTAAATCCACGCTATACATTTGGAACAGGTTGCCAGCATTTGTAATGATCACTTGCAGAATCACTTTCATAAATACTTGGAGAGCACTTCCATTTGAAACTATTATTTGGAAGTATCACTCTCAATAATCTACGCAAACGTATTTCAGGCCTTCCCTTATCTGTCGATTCTTGAGTCACATAAACGCTGTCATACAGGCGAGAAGCC